TCCAAGGAAAATACCCGGATGGATAGAACTCGTTAGAGAAAAATTTTTCTGTAGACAAGCGGGCTTACAGAGGAAAAGATTGAAAGATTGATTGATTGATTGATTGATTGATTGATTGATTGATTGATTGATTGATTGATTGATTGATGATTGATCAGCATTTAGCGGGTTTTTGTCTGTTTTCTTTTTCAAATTTTACATTTGGCTTTCACGCCTTTCATCTAAAAAATAATTCAATATGAATTTTGAACTGGTTTAGCTTGCGGAAGTAAAAACAGTGGTGAGAAGTAAAGACAATAGAATGTTTCTGTCGAGGAACTATCGGTCTGATAGTTGCCCCTTGAAAATTTTATGTTCTTAAAACTAGCAAATATTTGTTTTAAGAACATCGAATGTCCGCAGGGCAGCTTTGAGCCGATAGTTACTCGACTGAAAAACTTTATTTTTTTAATAAAGTCATTCAATAGCTCTTATCATGGTTAACTTTTCTCATTTGTATTACCATATAATCTAGAATGTATGTCAGACAATTTTGGGCTACTTTGTAGTTTTAGCCCGAAATTGCCTCGCATCCACGTTGGATAACATGGTAATGCAAATGAGAAAAAACTAACCGTGAAAAGGGCTATTCAATTTAATTAAACTGAAGATGACTTAATTCATGCCTAACCACGTCTTCTTTTTTTAATGTTTACTATTTTATAACTGTGTATGCATTCTTTTATACCGTAGCTATTTGCATAACAACATGCTGAGATCCGTGCCAGATTTCACTGGCCTGACATCCACTATAATGGATATGTAAGTACTCATATACAATTTTTTAAACACATTATACTAGATGCACAGTGTGGCAGCAAATTAGCAGCGCTGAAAAGCCAAGTTCGCCTAGAAAATGAATATAATATGGTAAAACTCTAGTGTGCCTAGTCTTAAATGGTCGTCCGATTTAAGGTAACTGTTGAGATCCAAAGACTACTGTTAGACTACTGTTGACAGAACGATAATCATGTTCCACTCATGCATTTTTTATTTCATGCATTTTTGCGTCCGGTTCACTATTTACAAACTAGTTACTGTATCTGATACAAACCATACCAAACACACCGCCAAGCAATTTTTTATATCGTATTTTGGATGTCATACCGTACCTTAAGGCACAAACCTCTTTGTTGACTTTTTTTTCTGATTTTTCACTATCCACCGAGTTCTGATAGAAAAAAAATTCGGCAAAAGAAATTTTACGGGAACGTTTACTCCACTTAAATGAAGGCGCGGTGGCCTCATGGTTAGTGCGCTCGAGCGGTCCGGGTTCGAGCCCTGGCCGGGGACACTGTGTTATTCTGGGCAAGACACTTAACTCTTACAGTGCCTCTCTCCACCCAGGAGTATAAATGGGTACCGGCGAATTGTTGGGGAAACCTAACAAACTGCGAGGGAGTGACCTGCGATGGACTAGCATCCCGTCCAGGGGGAGTAGAAATACTCCTAGCCGCTTCATGCTACAGAAACCGGAATAAGCTCGGGCAGCTGTGAGCCAGCTCCAAGGCTTCACTTTTACTCCACTGAAGGAGAAAAACCATCGTTACACTATGAAAAGGTAAAACGACAAGAGTAACTTTTATAATGTTAAAACGCTCAAAGCGGAAATCGTTAAAATATTCATCCAATGTTGCAGTTGTTATCGCCACTGAGCGTTATTACCAGAGAAACAAGCTGAATAAGAACAAACACAAACTCATTTAATTCTTGAACTGTTTGTTTAGTTATTTTGTCTTTTTAACTTGGAAAATATTTATATTTTTCAAGTTGTAGTGGTGGAACGATTTCACTCCATCACTCCTTGGGTCACTTCCTCTTAGACATTTGGAACCCCGGGTGGATGGGGGGAACTCCCATATGAGAAGGTCAATTATGCTCGTCAGAAAATTTGAATTTTTAAACTCCTAAAAAAGACCAATGTGGCCGTTGCTCGAGCTTCATTAGACCCCTAAAGCTACTGTTTAAGAAAGGATCCCGCGCCCACTTGTACACTCGACTCGCGTACTCGAAAGATCAGCGGATCTTTTTCGAGTGCACCCTAAAGGATACTTTGACAGCTAAGAATGGTGACGTTTGGTCATCAACACCCTAACAGCAGAATCTTTGATTTGTGGTTGTAGTGCACAGTAAACAGGGTGGGACCCAGGACAATCCCCTGCGGAACTCCATAGTGTATACATAGGGAGGGTCTCAGATTGAATACAATTTACCAAGACGTATTGCTTCCGATCCTTTAAATAACTCTGTAACCATGACCCATCTGTACCACTTATCCCTGCATTTTTCAATTTCGATAGAAGAGTTCTGTGATTTATGATG